ACGCGTGTGTCCCCCCCCCCCCCCTCCAAGTATGCAAAAGGAATAAAGATGAGCAACTCCAAACGATGCTGCCTGCCGTGTGATGCAAGATGGAAGGGTGTTTGCAGCCCTTCTTGCTTTACCTAGGGCTGTGTCCTGGTGCAGTAATGCTTCATCTTGCAGCAGGAACCTCCCTTGAGGGGATACTGCAGTCTCCAGGGTGGGTCACCCCAGTCCTACCCAGTGAAAGATACCACAGTCAGATTATGTGACATAGCTCAGCCTGAACCAACAAGTCAAAGCAATTCATTTTCAGCATGAACAAAATATCCCAGATGGTGACAGGTTTATGGCAAGATCAGGAGTGGTGCTCCTTAGGGCCAGTTCCTCTTCCTTGCCCTGAGAGCTGACAGGGTCTCCCGCTCTGTACAGCACTGCTGGGCTAGCACTGCCAGAGCTGGAAGAAGACAAAAACACACTGGGTCATTCAGGGGAGCAGAGAAAGGAAATACTCAGGCAGAGGCAGCCACATCCTGATGGGGTCTGTGAATAGACCGTAGGGGTGGGGAAAGAATCTCTGGTTCTGCACTTCACCTGGATGATATGGGGACTGGATCTGTTATTTTGGGTGGGTTGGGGACCAAAGCCTCCCTCTTGTGTGGTCTGTGATGACCCAAGGATAACTGGGGGCAATCTGTGTGTCTCTCAAGGGCTGGTGTTGGCTGTGGCTGGAGACAGGATGAAACCTCCAACGTGGTGATCCAGCACAGGTACCTCCTGGGCCCTCCCCAGGGAGGGGCTGAAATCACAAGGCTGCATACCAGATGGGAGCTCAATCAGCACCTTTTTTATTAATATGCATCATAAATAAAGAAATAAATAAAGGCGAGACACCTCGTTCTAACTGGGGAATACAAATTAAATATGGTGCAACGTCCACTAAGTGATGTACAAGCAGGAGGTAACCTTGCAAGAGCAGGGTCCCTTGCCACGGGAAAGCCAGCCCAGGCATGACACCACGAACAGCGTTAACCTGGCCAAGGCACCAAATACTGGCATGGCCTTTCACTAACACTGTTCCCCACCAGGGGGCAGCATGAACACGACAAGGAAGGGGTTGATTTGCATTGGCTCTGCCAAGGACCCCAGGCCCCCCAGCAGCCCTTTGTGCTTGTACACGATTATGGGTCCCCCCCACCCCACCTCACTGCTGGGCAAGACCCTACGCCATGGGGAACACCGTCCCTCCCACCCTCTCTCCCCTGCTCCCTCTGGGAGCACCCGTCCTGCTCTGCCTACCGGGAGCACTGCTCCCTTCAACAAAGAGCATCCCTAGCCCCATCAGGGACCCATCTTCACCCCCTCCCCTCCAAGTGCCCCTCTCTCCACTGAGCATCCCAGGACATCCAGGCACTGGCTCCCTGACCAGCATGGAGGGCATGGGGGACACCCATCTCCTACACAATACTGAACATTCACACGTCTTCCTCACAACCCCACACAACGCCTTGCCCCACACACACACACATACCCTTTCCCCTTCCCCTAGCCACAGCCAGGTACAGCACAAAGCCCTGCACTGTGGCAGTCCCCCAGGGAGGCACCTAGCCATGCCTGAGCCACGTGACATGAGCTCTTGGTATGGTACAATACATGACACATCATTAATATCGGTTAGGACAGGACTGTTCGAGACTGGGGGAGCCTACCTTATGGGCCCCTCAAGCCACCA